TTCTAGCGTAACCCAAACTGACTTTATGTTCGCCTTACTAACTTTTATTAGGCTAGATTTTATGCTATCCTTCACATACAAGGCCACCACTTCCCCTTTCTTGCCTTCCCTGTCTTTTCTATGTTAAGAGTACACTGGTATTGCTATGTCCCAGTCATTTTTCTCATTATACCATATCTCAAGAACAGCGACTAAATCTACATTATCAGTTGCCATTATTGCTTCAAGTTCATGGACCTTATTCCATAAACTGCAAGCATTTATAGACATGACTCTAAGCTTATCATATTTTAACACACTTAAAACAGGCACCTTCTGTCCTTGTTTTGAGGGGCAATTAGATTGATGTTTTATCAACCTTTTGCCCCCCACCCCCTCCTAGTTTAAATACATCCTAGCAAAACCTCTGAACTGCTCACTGAAAATAATTTGTTCCCTTTTGAGAAAGATGCAAACCATCTTTTTTGTACATTTTATTTCCATTCCAAACAGAGCTACCATGAGAAATTAAGCCAAATCCTTGCTCCTGACACCATTCACAAAAAGTTAAAGTCCCTAATATGCATCCGCCTGTCATTCTGAGTGTTCTGCACAGGCAGAACTTCAGAGAATGACAGTGTGGAATCATTGACAAGAAAACAAAACCCTTCCTTTGCCCCTAGATGGACAAGTACATCCAATTGCCCCTTCCTGCTTTGCTCGCTTAACAATATTACAAACATGGCTCCTGCCTCTGTGAGCAGTAGCTCCGGGAAGACATCTCCACACCTCTTGATAGAATCCCCCAACAAAAACTATTAGGCCTCACCATAGTCTCCAAGCCTGTCTCCACAACACCACTACCCTCGGTGCCTGAGCCTGTCTCCACAACACCACTACCCTCAGTGCCTGTCTCCACAACACCACTACCCTGGTGCCTGAGCCTGAGCCGGTCTCCACAACACCACTACTACCACTCGGTGCCTGAGCCGGTCTCCACAACACCACTACCCTCGGTGCCTGAGCCGGTCTCCACAACACCACTACCCTCGGTGCCTGAGCCGGTCTCCACAACACCACTACCCTCGGTGCCTGAGAATGTCTCCATAACACCATTACACTTAGAAAGTGCTGAAAATTAATTATGTAGAGCAACAGACTGTGAAATATGCCTTTTACCCACAACTCCAAATATACCAGATCCTACAGTAATCCATCTGTGATTCCTAGTATGTCTCTGCACCAGTGGCTTTGCAGCAGTTCCAGCCTTAGTTTGTTTACCAGATAATTTACAAATCTCAGACTTATAGAACACAATCTATTGCCGCAATATAGAGAACTGTCTACAGATTAGACAGCATCCATATCTCCAAAAGGTGGAATGTGAATCAAATGCATAACTATTACACTGAACTAAGTCTGCCATTTTAATGAGGTGAACAATTTAAATCAAACAAATATTTTTATTTTATTTTTGTTCTCCTGAATACCTCAGATTACCTCCAGTTTATCTCCAGAATATCTCCAAGCACATACTTAGAAGCAGCACTTAGAAGTAGCAACCAATCTATATTAGCCAAGCAAATGACCACAACCCTTATATAACTCCAAAAAGCACCACTCACTAGGAATATTTAACACTTGGGTAGTCCTATGCTTATTTGCAAACATATATATTTTCAGATTAGTTGGAAAGGGATTCTATAGGGTTAAAAATGCAAGAGGGAGAGTGCAGTAAACTCCCAGAAGCGCCTCTAGTGGTTGTCTGGTAGGTAGCCACTAGGAGACTGTCTTATTATTGCAATTTAAACATTGCAGTTTCTCAAAATCTGCAATGTTTTACATTGCAGGACAGAGTGGGACAGACACACTGCATCCAGATCACTTCAATGAAATTAAATGGTATGGGTGCATATAATGTTAAAACCCATTCAGCCACTTACCTGTCTCCAACGCCAGAGCTCTCTCGGTGCTGGTGACCTCTCCTCCTCTTGCTGAGGTCAGCGCTGAATGCGCAAGAGCCACGTGCATTCAAACTGCCCATAGGAAAGCATTACTCAATGCTTTCCTATGGACGGCAGTGTCTTCTCACTGTGATTTTCACAGTGAGAATCGTGGAAGCGGCTTCTAGTGGCTGTCAGTGTTAAAGTGAGTTAGGAAGAAAACCCTTCAGGACAGGTGTAATATGACTTTTATAGAACGAAAAAGATGGTTCAGTGATGCGGTCTAATCTATAACACCATACTGACCATTTTCACACTTTGATGCTATTGTTTTAATCACAGCCCTAAATAGCCAATCCAACCATGAACTACTGCAACCAGACATCAGCAGTCAATCACAAAACAGGATCACCGTATGGCATGTGGGACCTATTTAGTCTGTCTAGTAATGGCAAGTACTCCACCTCCTATAGACTAAGCTGTTCAACCTATTTTTCCCGGTAAGTTTTTTTTTTTTTTAATTGTCTTATTTATTGTTAAATCTCTCCCTTTTATAATATTGTAAAGTGCTATGGAATCTGTTGGCGCTATATTAATGCTAATAATAATAATAATAATAATAATAATAATAAGTAAGCACTGCAATTGCAGCATGTGATATAATTAATAGAGGTCCCCCAACATACTGCGCATAATAGGCATCGTTATCGCAGGAATTGCTTTGTGACAGCACATAGAATGTCAGCAATAAAAAAATGCCTAAGTGGTGGTGCCATACTTTGTGTGGCAGCCATTACATAGGGTTTAGAATGTAATCTCAATTTATAACATTATAGAAGCACGCTAAGCACCTTGACCACTACAGCTAATTGGAGTGCAAAACGTTGGCGGACACCATTTTCCAACTTCTTGTCAAACTGCTTTGGAGCAGATTGAGGGGAAACCATACGTTATCTCCTGACCCTACAGCATTTATCTGCTGCAGCTCTGAAAATGCATTAGTAATCTTCTGCATAAGCAGTTACAAATTTGGAAGGTAGAGACAGGGTGAAGGTGCTTGAGGCAAGGATGCCCTGCACTCTCAACCTATTAAAAAGGTCAAATGGTGGACAGGTTAAAGGACCACTCTAGGCACCTAGACCACTTCAGCTTAATGAAGTGGTCTGGGTACCAGGTCCAGCTAGGCTTAACCCATTCTTTTATAAACATAGCAGTTTCAGAGAAACTGCTATGTTTATGAATGGGTTAAGCCTTCCCCCAAATCCTCTAGTGGCTGTCTCATTGAAAGCCGCTAGAGGCGCTTGCGTGATTCTCACTGTGATTTTCACAGTGAGAGCATGCAAGGGTCCATAGGAAAGCATTGCAAATCCTTTCCTATCGACCGGCTGAATGCGCGCGCAGCTCTGGCCGCGCGTTCGCATTCAGCCGACGGGGAGGAACGGAGGCGGATCGGAGGCGGAGAGCTCCCCGCCCAGCGCTGGAAAAAGGTAAGATTTAACCGGGCGGGAGTGGGACCCTGAGGGTGGGGGCACCCTCAGGGCACTATAGTGCCAGGAAAACGAGTGTTTTCCTGGCACTATAGTGGTCCTTTAATACACAGCTGCAATCATAGTATTAAAGTGTTTTTTAAAAACACAGATTTTGATTAAATTAACCCTTGCTGTGCTGGAAACCCCATTGAAAAAAATGCAGATGTGTGCCGTCATAGGATGACAGTCGCCAGCATGCTGATGTAAGATATTCAATATGCAAAAAAAAAAAAAAAATCATATTTGCCAGCCCAGGACTATTCTTCCATAATACTGGAGTTACACCGCCAGCAGCTGAGGAGTTAAACTCTGTATGTAAAGAGTTTCATAGCGAACCACTGCACATATAGAATACAGGCACTATGATCACTTAAAAATCACTGAAGTGGTCCTGGTGCTTAGAGTAACCCTTTAAGGATTTAGTAATAACATCCAGATTGATGGATATGACAAGAAAATAAAGGTTTGTGACATATGCTTATATTACTGATACATAAGAAATCCGAAAATAATGATCAACAGTGTGGTAACCTGCCGACGCCGCTCAAGGAACGGCGGCGTGGCAACCTGCCGACGCCGCTCAAGGAACGGCGGCGTGACAACCTGCCGACGCCGCTCAAGGAACAGCGGCGTGGCAACCTGCCGACGCCGCTCAAGGAACGGCGGCGTGGCAACCTGCCGACGCCGCTCAAGGAACGGCGGCGTGGCAACCTGCCGACGCCGCTCAAGGAACGGTGGCGTGGCAACCTGCGACATGGCAACCTTTCATTGTTCCACCCACACCTTGATCAAAGGCTTTGCCTGACACAAACATTGACAGCACCATGGCCCTTGACTGGCACACAAAGAATGCACCCTTGATTACCAACACTGTAACACAATTAGTGCCGGCCATACAATATGAGTGAAGCAAGGTCCGGTAGATGTGCAGTGAGAGTAACAGAGCCAAGCACGGTCCATATGGGAGCCATGATGCGGCCAGTCCCCCCTCCCCCCCAGCTATCCCCCCATCCCTCATTCACTCACCGTGCACGGCTGACGCCTGTAGGATCGCCCCTGACGTGCCGTCGATCACTTTGATGCTCCCGCGGCTGGTGACAGCCAGGATGGCGTTGAGCGCTGGGTGGTAGGATAAGCTGCTCACTCCCTGCTCGTCGCAGCGCCGGCAGCCGTCCCTCATCACCAGCCACTCCGAGGCGCCCGCCGCGGTCCCCGCCGCCATCTTCGGCAGCTGGGCCCCCTCCGGGCGGGACACCGGGGCTGGGAGGCCGGGGAGAGAGGGTGTTAGAGCGGGCTGTGGGTCAGCTGTCCGAGGTGGGGAACTGGAGCTATCCGGCAAAGGAACTGGAGGACAAGGGCCGCTGGCCGCTGCGTCAGGTGACAGGAGAGCAGCAGCCGCAGCACCACCGCTACCGCTATACACCATCCGGGGCAGCAGCCAGGAAGCCGCACGGCAGGAGGAGGAAACGCCGGAAATGACGAACACAATGCGCGTGACGTCACCGACCAGTACGTATGCGTGAAGGGCAGGAGAAGAAAGAAGGGAGGGTTTTTTTTTTGTTTTTTTAACCAAATCAACTTTATTAGTATGAGCAGTTGCATCAGCAGCAAACTGAGCAAAGGGACAGTGTTCGCTATTATAAGGTTTACTCAATCAACCGGGAATGGGGGAAAACTGACCCAGAAATTTTATGTTTTAGGCCACTACTAAATGCACACGTGCATACAGCACTGTGGGGTTTAAAGTGTTACTCCAACCACAATGACTACTTATGCTTTTAGAAATGGCTATGGTGGTGGTAGGAGTCTGTATGTGCAGCGTTCCTGCTTGAAACTTACAGAGATATATCTTTAATTCTGTGCTGAGGGTTAGTTACACACCAGATACATGTGACTCAGGCAGTTTGGAACTCTGTTACCTGTGCTCTTAGCCAGCGAAACATTCCGTCAAAGGTGAGAAGCCTTCAAGTGAAGTTCAGTGACATATCAGTAGTCAGAAATTTTGGCTGTAAAAAGCCATCTGAAAATACACTTGCATAGTAATAAGCAACAACAACAACATAATGGGCTAACTAATATCTTCTACGCTGTTTGGCTCCATCGTGAACACAAAAAGTAAAATTTTTAGGAATATCTAAACCAAGAAAAACAATAGAGAGGTGTTGGTGGGTGGAGAGGGGCAATGATGACTAGTAGTTGCTTCTACAGCCCACAACACATCCATGTGCTGCTGTCCATGACCATTTGCAGTGGCTACCTCAGTAGATCACTGTACTATTTGGAAAAAAAAACCTGAACTAATAAAAACTGTATAGCCTAGGTTTGTCAGACGTATACTTGGATTGTAGATTGTGGGTAGCAATTGCTTTTTTGTTTTACACTTTTTAATCTTTTGTGTGAATATACACATATATTACTTTTGCCCCTTTCTCCCATTCTGTAGTGTTTTCGTTTTTGCTACAGTAATATTGTGGATAGGATGTCATAATCAACATATATGAATATATTGGTGTTTTTTATTTGTACTTTATTGTTTGGATGCATAAGTTATATATATATAATGATTAACAAAGAATGGGGCACCTCCATGATTGACTCTTAAGCATTGCTACTCAGTTCGTGGTTTTGGGTTTGCGCTTTCCAGTACAAGTTCTTCTCCAGATTATATCAAGACATAATTTTCTGCTTATCATAGCTAGTGCCGTGACATTAATTTGGTATATGAGATATTTTGTTGCCTTGGGCAGTTTAGGCGGGTAGTTATGGAGCAGCATGCAATCGGGTGTTTTAGGTAAACTAATCCCCATGCTAGAGTGGATTAGTTTGGCCACAGCTGTCCAGTATGTTGTTAATTATGGGCATTCCCACCAAATATGGAGCATGGTGCCAGTTCCCGTTGTGCATCTCCAGCACTGGTCTGAAGTGCTTGGCTAAATTTATTTAAGGCGCTTTGGTACTAGGTATCAGCGATATAGTATCTTCCGTGATAGCACTATGTGATTTGCACTTAGTGTGAGTTTTTTAGGAGTTTGGAATATATCCTGCCATGCATGCTCATTAAGAGTAATGTTGAAGTCTTTTTCCCATGCCCTGACAAAGGTGTATCTGATATTTAATTCGCATTTCAGAATGCTAGAATAGAGTTTTGAAATATTTTTTACTGCTGGAGTAATTTTTAGCATTGTTTTCTCAAAGCTCGTCAGTCGGTGTTCATGTACATTTTCTTTAACCCAAGTTTTTTTGTTTTTTTTTAACCAAGAATGTATTTTTAAATATGAGAATTACGCTACTGATGGGAGACTATACATCTGTTGCATTTCTTGAAAATGTAATGTTTTGCTGTTCTGATAGAATTTTATTACTTGATGGGAGGCGAGTAATTCGCATAACTTTCTTTACTTATGCCTCCAGCAGCACAATTCAATCAAATTTTTTAAACTAATCAGAAACAGGTACAACATCCATATAAATCCCTGAGAGCCATCTCACTTCCCCTTTCTTTGCTGCTCCAGCCAGGCACAGGTCAGAGTAAATTTTTCCCTGCTCATTAACTTTATCTTTATGAGTAGAGGATTCTATACTGTCTTATGTACTGTATTATTTAATGCACTCATTGCTGTATGTTACTGTAGTTTGCCCCTGCTCCTTTTCTCCACCTGTCTTCCCTCCTTATTATTGTGGGTCTGTCATTTCCCCACTAACTGGCTGAGCCTGCTCTCACCTCTATTTATTCCCTCTCCGCACGCATCATGGTGTTTTCACAGTGATCGCTCGCCTATTTGCAGTGTTTGGGGACCAGCAGGCAGGGTACTGTGGGGGGAGGGAGTGTGGGGCTCGTTTTTCTGACAGCCGGCGGGCCACGATCGCGGATGCGCCGGCAATATTTGCGCGTGATCGGCGGCCATCTTGCGTACCGCGAGATTCAGGTCGGCCATTTTGGTTACATTTAGCTTCTACTTCACTATTCTTTTGTTAGGAGCCCATGTATTATACATTCTGTACAGTACTTTGGTAATTCTATCCCACATGTATACAGTTCTAAATATATCTACTGAGGCATGTTTAGTAATGTTTGAATATCAGACCTGGACTATATATTGGCAATCTGCAGTGTAACCACTGAACATTTACACTCAGAGAGGAGTGTCACTACTAGGGGTGACCCCAAACTCTCCACTCGGGTGACCCCCCATTCAAGCATACATCAGTACCATTACAAGCTTACATCAGTGCTATTAATCACTGCTCTACCAGGGGTGATCCCCAAGCAAGACTTGCACTGCCCTCCAGTGACAAGCATATTTTAGTGGTGATCCCCCTTACCAATGGAATGAGCACCCCATTCGACCTAACAAGAGGCTCAACCCACATGGCCATACAAGGTCCACAGGTCATACCAATAATAATTGATACGGCACCTCCATGCTACGGCTGGGGTGATCCATTCACCTCCTGACTGTCTTTAGGAGGGAGAACTCACAGTGTTACCGTCTCCACAACAATACTCTATATCAAGGGTGACCCCCTTTGACAATACAGGGCTCTCTACGCCCTCTTACGGGCTCCGTCCCGATTATATTTGACCGCACATCCCGATCTTTTAGAGGGTAACCCCCTCATTAATTCACTTTGTGTCTCTATCCAATCCAAATGGTTCTGATAAACTGACGACACTGGGTGACCCCCAGTTGTACGTGGAGGCCCACACTGTTACAACTCGCTTACTTCTGTACCTGAACCTGTCCTGTCTTCCACAGACAGAAAGACTCAACGGCCATAGAATGAGTGATTCACCTCAATCACCTCGCCCTGACTTCCAGTCAATGATCAATGCGGCCGTGGCAGCTTCAGTTTGGAAAGCTATTGCCAAGATGCTGGTGGACGTTGACGCACCAACAGTGGCGGAGGCTAAGGACCCTGACTACTCTAAAGGGGACACCTCCATGTCAAAAAGACACTGGAAGGGCACTGTCTCTAGCCCCCGAAAATCAAAGGGCAAAGCCCCACTCAAGCAGAGTCGCCAGGCAGAACGCCGGGACCCATCACCTCCGCATATCCCAGCCTCTAAAGATGAGGAACCCTGGCCTCCCCCCTCCCTAGAGATTATGGATGAGTGGAAAGTGGAGAATGACTGTCAGGATCTACCATGGGACGATCCGGAATACACTCAAGAAACGACCTGTGACATTCATTTCAGGAAACGGGGATCCCAAAAATCATCCGACATGCCGGATGATGGTAATTTCCTCGATGCCCAGGGCGCACCCATGTTCGACCCCCGCATGATTCGACACCTGAGATCATCGGAGTGGGGACTGCCAGATCACTTGGCCCAGTTTATACACTTCTGGTTAAGAAAACCAATGGAGAAAGAGGTATGTGCCCGTCTCCAGGCCAAATGCCCAAGACCAATACTACCGGACAAGATAGCGCATACCCCGGAATTCAATACCATGGTGGTAATGTTTATGTCCGGCTCGGGCCGAAACCCACATAAGAGCATTGAAAAAGGCCTGAAAGCCTCTCAGGATAAACTACTGGACATACTCGGTCCACTGGCGAAGATCCTGTACTTTGCCTACTTAGCCCTCACCCAAGGCATTCCTCTGGATGCCCATGACGTACGGGAATGGGTACAACAGGCAATTTGCATGTTGGGTAACACGAATGTGGCCATATGCGCGGAAAGACGCATGGCAACTTTATGTTAGCTGCTGGAGTTGGGCAAGAAGGAAATGGGACCCCTGGTGAACGGCAAGCTGTTCGGAGATTCATTTATTACCGAGCTAAAGAAGCACGAGAACATGTTCACCACCCTGAATAAAGCCCAGGCGTCCATCAAGCAGGTGTTCCGCAACCCCGCTCCGCACAGGGTTTTTTTTGGCAGGCTGGTCGCCACCAGCCGTTTCTGGCCCACAGGACCCAGGAATCAGACTTTGCAAGCCTTCTTCCCAGCCTCAAGCGCCACTTTCTCAAAGGGGATCCTTCCTTCCCAGAGGGGCTCGTACCCGAGGCCGCGGACTCTTCAACACAGGTGAGCATTCCACCCTCGATATATTGACATTCACTTATAACTGCAGGCAGGCTGTCTCTCTTTTCACAGAACTGGGAGAGGATCTCCACAGACACCTGGGTCCGCCAAACAGGAAGGGGTTACGTGCTAGAGTTTTCAGACACCCCAGTGCGGATCAGATGTCCGCCCCCAATTCGGGTGTCAACAGATCACAAAACGCTCATACACGACGAGATTCGAGCTCTATTCGACAAAGGAGCGGTGGAATTCGCTCCGGACAATACAGGCTTTTTCAGCAACATCTTCGTGGTCAAAAACGACAGAAGATTACTGACCCATCATCAATTTGCGACAACTAAATGGTATCTTAATGTATCGCCATTTCAAAATGGAAGGTATTCACCTCCAACGAGACCTGCTACTAGAATCCGACTGGTTCACGCTTACCTGTCCGTCCTCATAGCACCCGAGAGTCGACTATTCCTCCGATTCACATGGCAAGGTCGCCCATGCCAGTTCACATGTCTACCCGTGGTGCTTCATGAAACTACTGAAACCAGTCATGGCACAACTGAGGGCAAAAGGTATTCGCTGTCTCATATACCTGGACGACATATTGATATTCTGCGAAAGTGCTTCCAGGCTACAATCTCACACGAGGTTTATTGTGCAATTTCTGGAATCATTAGGCTTCATAGTGAACAGAAAAAAGTCGTCACTCTCTCCATCCAGAATTGTTCAGTTCCTAGGATTTGAGATCGACTCAAAAACGTGTGTCCTACGTTTCCCCACTACAAAGATAGCGGTGATTTGAAAGGAGTTCTGGAAGGACACCATTCCTCTTTGCCTCTTGGCCAGAGTGGTCGGAATGCTATCGTCCTCCATTCAAGCGATCTTCCCAGGACTGCTCCATTATCGGGCCATGCAGCGATTGAAGGCTCACTACCCGTGGATGGGACACTCGTACGAGTACTTATTTTCCCTCCCTGGGGTTTTCCCTCCCTATATTCTTGGGACGTTTACAGTTCCTATATTATCAGTATAAATTACATTGCAACAACACTTATTTAAGTTGTATTATTTAAGTTGTATTGATGTTGGTTAACGTTTGTCTTACAGGTTATTACCTTAAGTTGTGGTGATAATTATAAATGGTTTATAACAGTTAAATTGTATTATAATCTTAATTATTAAAAGTATTAAGCTTAATATGTGGACACAAGTTGTTTTCCACCACCCTTCACTTGTTTCTGTTCTTTTCAGCATAATCAACATGCATGTTTCGGAAACTGGACAAGCACGATCCCTTCACGTTATGGTTCAAGTTTCGGTTAATCAAGTCATCCAGGATTGTCATTATGTTTCCTGATGTTTCAATAGACTGTTTTCGCATCAAAGACAGAGGAAGTGAGATGGCTGTCAGGGATTGATATGGATGTTATACCTGTTTCTGATTGGTTTAAAAAGTTTGATTGACTTGTGCTGCTGGAGGCATAAATACAGAAAGTTATGCAAAATACTAGCCTCCTGTCATTATTAAAATTAAGATTATAGGTACACTACGTTAGCATAATCTACAATTGATGCATAAAGTATACTTTGTGGCGTTCCCATATTCTGTAATTGAAGTCTGGTATTACTGAATGTAAGGTTGAAACAATCATGGCTTGGGAGTACATGCTCCTCGAGCAGCATTTGTATTTGTTTAGGTCCCAGATGTGGATGGTTATAGCTGAGGTGGGCAACATCGGTACTTTCTTGGGTCTGATATATTTAGGTAACCATATCAAGGATAAAAGTGTGTATTACCGCATTTTCTAAAGTTACCCATTGAGGGGGGTTTTGTTCTGTTTGGGCTGGTACTATGCTATTAATGATAGCTGCTTGGTAGTATATGTGTATATTTAGTGTGTATATTTAGTGCGTTCATCCATTAATTTTTTTTTTTGGTAAAGCGTATTTGCAGTTACTCTAGGGGTTTTGTATGCCCAAATGAATTGGTTGAGTAGTCTTTGTGCCTCTTTGAAATATGAAGTAGGGAGACGGATAGGAAGGGTTCTAAATAAATATATGGGGAATCATTTTAATAGCTGCCATGCGACCACTCCATGAAAGGTGTTTTCCTCGCCAGTTACATATCGTTGTTTTAATTTCCCCCAATAGCCAAACATGGTTTTTCTTTATAGATATGTTAAATGGCAAATGTAAAGGCATACAAGGAAGGTGAGTTTGTCTATTCTCCAATAAAGTGAATATTGGGATTTTAGGCTCTGTAGTGTTGTTAATACCCATAGCCTGTGTTTTGACCACATTTAATTTGTAATATGAGCATCGGTTGTACTCCTGTAGTATCTTGGTGAAGGTTGGGATAGATATATGGGGCCTCATTAGGGTAAGGAGGACATCGTCCGTGAATAGCGTAAGTTTGTATTAAGTGTTGTTTTCTTGTTGAATATCAAGGTTGTCTCTTATGAGTGTCGTGAGTGGTTCCAGTGCCAATACATACAGTAAGGGCACGAGTGGCGGCCCTGCCTAGAGCCGTTGGAAATGTGAAAGGGGACATTGGTGAAACCTCCTCCCGCTACTTTGGCAGCAGGGTTGCTATTCAGAGCCTTCACCGCTGACACAAATTCTCCCAGGAAATCATACTTTCGCAATCCCGCGAGGAGGAAGCGCCAGTGCAATTTGTCAAATGCTTTCTCTGCATCTAAGGAGAGAAGTACACTTCCCCCCTCTCTGCAATGTCTGCATTAGGTGTAGCACTTTTCGTGTTCCATCGCTTCCCTGTCTACCCATCACGAAGCTGACTTGGACATAGTGGATGACCGTAGGAAGTATAGTGGACAACCTATTCGCATATATTTTGGTGATATTTTTATGTCAGTATTTAGTAGGGAGATAGGTCGTAGGGTTTGCCCTTAATTCGGGATCTTCCCCAGTTTAGGGAGGGTGGTGATGTGTGCCACGAGCATGTCTTTGGGGGGTTGTTTCTTGTAGAAGCATTGTTGTGAAGGTTGTTAATAGATATGGGGCCAGTGTATTTGCACATGTTTTATAATATATGTTCAGGAAACTGTCTGATCCTCAGGACTTCCCTGGTGGTAGTGCCAGTATTGAAGCAATAATTTCTTGTTCTGTTATTGGAGATTGAAGGACATCTTTTTGGGCCTGAGAAAGGTTGGGCATTTTGATTTTAGCTTTGTGGGTTGCTGTAGTTTTGTATAGTATCATGCAAGTTCATCAGCTATGTCTTGCGGATTGTAGAGTTTAGTCCCTTTGTTAGGATATAAGGGATTTTTGTGCGCGCTCGTTTTTTATGTAATTTGGTTACTTGGAGTTTGCCTGTTTTTATTGTTTTGGTGGAAGGTAAATTTAACTTTAATTACATAAAAGAGGCTCCTGCAGGGTCTAGCAAGCTATTAAAGTTGTTGATATTGAAGTTCTTGAGTGACTTATGCATACCAGAGAAAGCATTGCTGTGTAGCCTGGATATGGAATCACTATATAGCTCTATACCACATACAAAGGGCATTGATAATATCAAGACCATCCTAGAACAAGAGCTACAGTCCCCTAATAGGTATATTGATTTTGTCTCTAATATACTTAGAATGGTGCTTACTAAAAACATTTTCCTATTTAACGGTACCATCTACCAACAAATAAGAGGGACAGCCATGGGAACATCTTATGCTAATCTCTACCTTGGTACCTGGGAGAAACAAATTATAAATGAGCCACATTTACGAAAATATTCAGAGTTGATATCATGTTGGAAAAGGTACATCGACGATGTACTAATCGTCTGGACAAGGTCTATAAAGGATTTTGTCAAACTCCTTAATATGAATGATCTCAATTTGAGATTCACCAGCGAGATTGGCGGCAAGCAACTTAATTTTTTAGATATAACTATCACAATAAAAGAGGGAGGAAAAGTAACAACTACTCTGTTTAAGAAACAAACAGCCACTAATGGTCTCTTGAATTGGGCCAGTTACCATCCACAATCACTTAAGGCTGGCATTCCAATAGGCCAATATTTGAGATTAAGGCGCAACTGTTCGTCCACAGAGGACTTTAAGATCAAAGCCTGGGATCTTAGGAAAGCTTTCAAAGAAAAGGGTTATCCGAACAGGGTCCTACGTAGAGCAAATGCCAGGGCTATCAGTACCAATCGGGATACACTCCTCACTGATGACAAAGCACAATTACAGGATAAAAAATTGATTTGGTGCATTGTCACATATGATGCCGGGTGGGATTACATGATGGGCACGCTTAGGCGCAACTGGCCGATTCTTAAGTCTGATCCACACTTAAAGCAGGTAATTACTTCCTTTCCGTCTGTGACTGCAAGGAGAGAAAAAAAATTTGAGATACCTTGGTACAAAGCCATCTAGCACCTCTGAAAAGAGGGCTCAATAATTATTTACCCAAGGGCACATATAAATGCGGGCATTGCAGCGCATGAGAGTTCATTGGAAAAAATTCCAAGGAGTTCACAGATAGCAATAACATCGATATTTTCCCGGTCCGATCATTCTTTAATTGCAGAACAGAGGGCGTGATTTACCTACTTACCTGTTCATGTGGCATACAATATGTGGGGAAAACCTTTAGACCCTTCAAATTAAGAATTAGGGAACATGTTAATTCAGTTAGGAGACCTTTAGAAACTCCAATATCCCGCCATTTGAAAATATATTCAAACTCCTCTAAAAAGATGAGATTCATGGGAATTGAGCATATGCCACAGACCCAAAGGAGAGGGGATTGGGATATAAAATTGAGATAACGAGAATCCTACTGGATTTACAGACTTAAGACCCTCTCCCCTGCAGGACTGAACAAGGGTTTTTCATTTGCCGCTTTTCTGTGATCACTCTCTATTTAAGATGTGATACATAGTAAGGATTTCCCTACTAAGTCCGTTTATATGGACAGTAGGTTGAGCATTTGTATATAGTTATCGTTCATTTAAATGTATACACCACTGTTTGTATGTGTTTTTTTGTCACTTTGGTAACTTGTATTGGTACTAACCACTAAACTCTGATGTGAAATATACAACAGCGTATTGACCAATTACACAGCCCTTAGTATCAACTTTTCTTTCTACTTTGAAGGTGGTAACAACTGATATGCTGAGGTTTTAATAACTTTCAGCCTAATACAGCTGATTTGGAGCCTTCATGGTTCACTGAATAAACATAGGGGTAATTACATTATTACCTATTATTTGGAAGTTTGGATAAACTAATGAATCTATGTCTATACTAATAGAAGGACTGATACACTGTAATACGATTATTTCAACATCAGGATTTATTTCCGTTTATTTTTGTTGCAGCTCAAGCTTTCATGGTTTGTGTAGCATTTGAGGGGAGATTCTGCCCCATTGATAAATGAAATACATGATTTAGTAGCTTAAGTTTTATAATATACTCTCCCCTTGTCTCACTGTCGTCCTCTGCGATTTCGGAGGATGATGAGAGGGAGAGTGTTGGTCTTGCCATGTGGAGCTAGCAGTGTCCAATCGGGACCGTTCTGGTGGGAGGTCTTTAGGTGGTGCAGCCTCCGTCACTAGGTGACGCGATCATGCCACTCCCACTTCATGCGACTGGTCTCCCCACGTGTGCATCGTCTGATTGATCCTCCCGTGACTAGTGACCAATTGGAAGTCAGAAAATACGGCAGTAAGCACATGTGGGTGCACACAGCAGACAAGTTGATTGCTACAATGTGTATCTAAGCGGATACAAGGCTATTCCAAAGTTTCACAGTGCCGAGGTATATAGGAATAGGACCTCCTTTCATTAGTGGTCTTCGTTTGGGCTTGGGACTTTGGGAGTTTTTCTTCCCCATTTTAGGAGGTATTCAGATATATCCCTTAATTAGCCCAGCCGTTCTTTCTATTCTATAGCTTTGATTCAATGTAACCTAAGCTTGCATAGTGATTTTGGTATAGCCTGGGCATTTTTAGCTGGATAGTAGTCTGGGTCTGGATGTGTCACGGTTCTCACGCAGCAAACAGACAGCCAGACATGGTCACCCATGGAGTTCCCAACAAGGGACTTGAACCGGGGAACTTCGCAGTCCTGGTCCTGCTTCCTTCCTCTGAGCCACAGCAGCTTTTGTATTCCACATGTCATTCTGGTCCTGTTCATCCTGGCATGTCTATTACTCTGGGGGCTGTACCTTGACTTTGGATGTGCTTCACCTGACCCTGATCAGACATTAGCAGGGTATTTAAACTCAGCCTCGCCCTGTGATCAGCATCAAGTCTTTGATCCTGTTGTGTGCTTTGTACAAGTGTTCCTGTTGTTTGAGCTGCTACTTGTTATTGACCCCGGCTTCTGACTACGTTTACTCTGACCTCTGGCATCCCTTGACTTTGGCTACTCCTCGTTGTTCCTGTCTTCTGGCATCCTTTGATCTCGGCTATCCTTTGACGATCCTGCTGTTTGAGGCCTTGCCTGTCCTG